TATATATATATATATAGCTCTACACACACACACCTTAGACAAGGATGTTCAGCCAGCAGAGGTGTTTCTCTTCAGACAGTGATACGGGGTGGGGCTATACAAATTGGCTAAATGCATTATGGGCAAGAGCTAGATTGGAACATTCAAGCACCCTCCCCGCCCCATCACAAATCGATTTACCGAAATATATGCAATAATTTAGTCTACAGAAAATGAGAAGTATAAATTGCAAAATGTGAATCACTGGCTACAGATGCACATCAGAAGTCAATGAACTAGAAAATTACTAATTTAAAGACCCTGTAGTTACTTTACCCTGTAAAGTATTCTTCTAGGAATAATAGTGATATTTATCCTGAATGCTTTCTTCCAAGACAATCAAATTATGTTAGTAGTTCACAGAATGTAGTGTTCACAGAATTTCAGTTCATGAGGGCATCCAGGCCTTAATGTTTGGGTTTAGTTTCTCTTGATTACAGTCAATCATGGTAAAACCCAGGGGTTCAGTATAGTTGGTGCAATCTAGGCTCTGCCCCAATTGATCTAGAGAAACAACAATGCCCTCTGAGGTACAATAAAAAGCATATTGTTAGGCAGGTACAACATATCAGATAAGATGGTATACCATCTGAGACTTTCCTTTTTCTTACATTATCCTGCTGAAAATAAAAAATACGTTTTCTCTGCTGACACCTGTCACAATAAAGCCTACAACATATTAAATGTTGAACTTGGGGATATTCAAGCAAACTAACAGTAATACTTAAAAAAATTCAACAAATAAACCAAATATGGTTATCATGACTCCCTGTGAAATAGAAAGTAAAAGGCCTACCTTTATTTAAACCAACACTTTGTGCTGATGAATGATTAAAGGTTGTAAGCTGTTCTTTGGTGCTGGATTTTGTCATTTATTCATGACTTGCATTTAGCTGTATGACTTGTATGAGGCTCTGTAACAAGACTACAGCGTGAATGTTTCCCTAGAGAAAAAGCATAGTCAATATATTGGTAGTTGAGAGAGCAACTTTCTTGTCCATTTCTTGAAATTGTCCCCTCGAGATACAGTGGTGCATTATTTAGGTGTCCTGTGTTATAAACATGGACTCTGGCACTTTAATGACCCCTAAATAAAGATGTTTAACCTGTTAGTCATGATCCAAACTACTGAATTATTCATTGTTCCAGTGTTTCACTGAATGGTATTACGTGTAATACTAAACTCGCTTCACAATTGTGTTGTTTTGTTCCTCAGTTTTCATGCCTGAAAATGTTTTTTTTTTTTTTTTTTTTCAGGACTTGAAATTAATATATGCTTTTAATATATTTAAATGTATGTTTTATTCACTGGAAAATTATGGTTGTTGTGCAGAGAAATCTTTCTTGAAATGGCATTATATTAAGTACATTTACAGTTTGATTGCACAGTATAAGACATTTAACATAAACAGTGAGATTTGATTTACTCTGACATGCGAATTACGATGTTTAACCCATTATGACCAGGGTGATTACTTGTTTTCAGCATGTTTGTTGTTCATAAAATTTCTGGAAATCTGATTAAACACCCAGAGCAATACAGTTAATGCCTTTAGAGAGGCATGTTTGCGATATGTTATTAAAATATTAAAATATTTTGCAATTTTTTCATCACTTTTATTATGACAGATGCTTTAGTGTTGGAAAATATGTCTGTAATATTATTACCTGTGAGCTGGAAAGGGACTTTAACTAGACCTCAGCATCAATATTTCTATCACCGCACAATTTCTTACGTCACGTTTCACAGGCTGTTTAATACAGCATGAAAATGATCCATCACCAACAAGGGATTGCAAAAGCACATTCTTTGATTCATAGAAGACAACAATATTTATAATACATTGCATCAGCTGAGAATTGGGAGCATTTTGGTTCTTTGCACACGCTACTTCATCAAAGCAAAAGGATTTCAGCTGCATACAGTTCTTTTATTTTACATTCTTTATCGAGAAAACAACAAATTCAATTTAAAATTAAATTAAATTATTCCAATTAATTTCAACATACTTTGCTCGTGTGATTGCTTTAAATATTGTCCAAATATTAGTGCACACAATAAAAACTGTGACAGAGGGGAAAAAATCAAATGAGTTACCAATATTGGTAATATAAATAAATAATAAAGAATAATAATTAAAATAGAATAAAATAAACTTTCAAAAAGACAGTAATGAACGTTAAGACTATTCTGTTACAGATAATTGAAAATATTCTGGTACAGCTAACTGTTGAAAATGAAGATCATAGCAGTAATTGGTTTCTGAGAGTGTTCAGCTCATTTGAGTCCTGCTGTGACAGATGCTTGATGACTGTTCACCCTCAGTAACACCCGCATTTGATCTTTTTCTATCGGTTTTCTGACATGTGGAATGAAGTGGGAAAGTTTTTCAAAGTAGTTCATTCTTGTATAATGAAATGTATGGCAGTAGGAGAACGTGTGCTCTCTGTATCAACCTCACTGACCCTTTCTTGCTTTTGAAGCCGTGCTTGTCAGTTTCTGTTTTTTCTGTGATCATCTCTATTTAGTGAGGATCTGTCTCTGCTTTGTGCAGTATCTTTGATAGTGAAGAGATACAGAATGTTACCCTTCTATTAGAAGTCATTACAATCCTGTTTACCACGATCTGTACTTTTATTGTCCTAAAATTTATTTTACAAGTTAGCGAGACATGTCAGCAGAGGAAGATAACACAACACTGCTGTACTCGTCTGAACTGAAGCCATCTCTTCCAATGTCTTTATCAGTCCTCGGAGGAGGGAAGCAGTTAGTGAGAGACTGAGTGAGTCATTAAGTCTGCAATAATCAACATTTTAAATTATTTATGCTGTGTAATTACGCTTCTGTGGAGCTGGTGGAGGAGTCTGGCAAAATGAAGAAGTGCTTGTTTTTCAAATAAATGCTCATTGGATGATGGAAACTCAATTTAGTGATGGAGAGGAAGTTGCTTGACGTGACACTTGTGTGGTGGGTTTATGAACAGCTTCCTTGAGTCATTTAGAGAGATACTTAAGTTGCAGTCCATCTAAAGGCTGCTCGGCTGACTCTCGTTATTCTGTCCCCTTTGTATCTTGCAGATCATCGTCCCTCTGTGACAAGCCACCCAAACCTGTCCTGATTTCTCCTTGGTTGCTGTGAAGATGACAGAAACCTTGCTTTCAGAAGAGGCATCTGAGGCTCACTGGTTCTGTCTGAGAGAATATCATATGAGCATTTACAACATTGCACTACTGTTTTAATCAAAGTGTTTATTTATTAAGAGGTTTATGAATACGCCACAGACTATACAAGATAGACATTTTTATGTAACTTCTCCCTCATCCACAGGAGTTGCCTGGTCAGAGAACCTCTGTTGTTGTTTATTAATTTAATGCAAGGGAAACTTGTATATTATATATATAAACAAACACACATTAATATTTACAATATAAAATTGAAATATTGTATAAATGTATATATGCATGTGTTACTTATACAGTGAGGGAAATATTTATTTGATCCTCTGCTGATTTTGTAAGTTTTCCCACTTACAAAGAAATGAAGGGTCTGTAATTTTTATGTAATTTTTATGGTAGGTTTTTTTTAACAGATAGAGACAGAATCTCAACCAAAAAATCTAGAAAAAACACATTATATAAAGGCTAGAAATTGATTTGCATTTCAGTGAGTGAAATAAGTATTTGATCTATGTTTAAAGGCACTATATAAATATTTGTAAATTTAGTTATTTATGTGTGTGTGTGTGTGTGTGTGTGTGTGTGTGTGTTTGTGGGTGTATGTGCATATATATATATATATATATACATATATAGTTCTATGAGCCAGTAATTTTTTGTTTCATTTTTAAGCAAATTTGTTTTAAATAGTCTTTATATAAATGTAAATTATTATAACAAAAAAATATTATTATAAAATTCTATAAAACAAACACAAATAAAAATTATATAAAAATCTATTTATAAATGTGTGCACACACATATTTATAAATGCATTTAAATATATTTATAGAGCAACTAAACATATATAAAATAACTGAACAACTAGAAATAGAGTAACTGAACAATACGAAAGTAACACATGCATAATATATTTTAAGCAAGTTTGTGTTTTATATGGAAGCATATGGGTAGCAAAATTCATTTTGAAATGTAATATGCAAAATGACTATGCAATATGTAAAATGGCAATGTATTTCTGTATTTAAATGTACATTTTCGCATACATACAGTATGTGCAACATTTAGTGCAAAATGAAAATGAAAATTAAATTATATAATTTATATGCTACAGTTTTTGCTTGGACATTTTAAACATCTAATCAGTTTGGGTAATACATTTTCATTTTAATTTCGCAACTTATAAAGTGTTAAAATATGTTTTTAATTTACATATTAAAACTAGTGTAGGAAATGGCAAATCTAAATTATATAATTGAATTTTCATTTTCATTTTGCACTAAACG